AATAATTTATACTTATAAAACTTACAATGTACAGATATAGCTGTTTTCTACACAGAATAATCGTAATTAGTGTAATATCGTACCCTGTACACAGAATGTTTACGACGGTAATAATATTAAATACCGCCTACGTATTAACATTTATATTATAGAGTGACTACGGTTGTAAAACCATAAAAATATAACATAAAAAATGTAACATTTATGATTTTTACAGTGTTATAGCGATTTAATTGTTTTTGAAACGTTAGTCTGTTGGAAAAAAAATTTAACTGTGATATACTTCGCGCCGTGAGTGATGTGCTACTGTTGCAGACGGACAGTACGAACGCACAGAAGGTGGGGCAGGGAGGGCGCTGGTCTACCCCGTGTGACTTTTGTTTTTACTGCGATACTTTTGATTTCCCCAGAAATCGCCTCGAGCCAATGCTTTATATTTTTCATATGTCAACAATTTTTAACACGGCAATGACACCATTTCACAGAGGTATCAGAAAATTACGGCTAGAATTAGATATAGATACGCAACAACATTGACAGTGGGACATAGGTGTATGATTTTATTTTTAAGGGTCTAATACGATTAGGCACTCGGTCAGCTAGACGTAAGGAATATTTGGACGCTGGTCGCCCAAAAAAATAAAACAAAAAACAAAAAAAAAAAAATGATAATACGGTTGAATAAATTCAAATAGAAAAACTAATGTAATGAACATTAATTAAATTCGGCGAGACATACGAGTAAACGTCACCCTCTTTAATTTCTAATGATTCGTCTCGCGTAGTTGTCTTAAATCTAAAAAAATTTAAAATCGAAAGAATTTCTTTGCAATAGTATAAATACTACAGTACTTCTAGTTTTAATGTTGTTTATGCAATTTTTTTTTTATACCAATTTAAATTCCAATAACTTAAATATTCTAATTTTTTTTGTTTTGTTAATTATCATTAGGTTTTTTTTGGGGGGGGAGGGCAATTGGTGATGTACAAAAGTCGTTCGCGTCCATTTGTCCTAGATCCTATTTTTAAATATAGAACAGTATAGTTTACAAGCGACAGGATAATTTTTTTTATTATCATGATCCAGCTATCTACAAACGTTTTGAGTAAAATCTATTTAAAATTGAAACGGCTTTTTTCGGTTGTTGCTCGTCACAGAACCGTTTGACGATCTCGTTTACAACGTTTAAACCAATATTTAAAGCCACCGATTCCGAAAGTGCCGTTAAATTTTTCCGCTTGCTTGGCCCGCTGGTTCTGTAACAGAAACCCGCAGATCGAGTAATTATTGGCATTTCGATGGTTTATTACACTGTTCTTCTGGTGTACTAGACGTACACGTGCATCGATTATATCAGCCACTATAAACATTGCATAACACAATTTCCTAACGGTATTAGAAGTTCTCACCGTCGCCTACGAATAATTTCAACATTGTCTGGTCGGGGATTATTTACTGATCCTATCCACGAGTTCCAGTCAACCGGCATGTATAAATACGCGACCCGTCGTGGTTTTTCATCGACTAGGACCTAGGTTTTAGGTTTTCGCTTGGTACGCTAACCTTCCTTGGACCGGTATCCGGTTTCGACATCTCGTTTGCGGTTTAGCGCGTGACATCGCCGCCTAGATCCTATAGATAGTATGTTATTATAATAATTCGGACGAACTATTATAATATCTGCGCGCGATCTTAGAATAATATCCGAAATAATAAACGCTTAATAGTCGGGTTTTTTTTTCGCCTGTGCACTATCAAGGTGGCGACGTCGCCGATCTCGCATGAAAAAACATTAGAATAATAATAAAAAAAAATAAAAAATGTTTACGCGACGACATAAATATAAAATCACACGCGCCTCTCGGACCGTAAACGTTCGAATAATAATATTATGATCGGTCGAATGGGCCCATCGGAAAGAATAACGATGATGCGTATATTATTATTATCATTCCCAATGGATTTTATCAACGACACCGAGGCGACCCGGCGCCAGGACGAAAATCGAGGTCGTTTCGTTCGAGAATCTCGTCGAGCCGTGTTATAATAATAATGTTTTATTTTATTTACGCCATAATTATTTAATATTTTTTAACAAACGCTTGCGTGAATAACTAATATTATATAATATGTGAAAAGAGAGAAAAAAATTTAGTAAAAAAATATTATACTACATCATCTTGAGGTCACTCGCAGAGCGATACAAATAAAGTATACAATATTTTACGATTTGTATCCAAAAATAGTGTCCGATATTGTGATAATATTTCGTCGCGATCGCGTTACGTAACCTGTACGTTTTTTTTAATAATAATAATTATATTCGATACTCGTTCGGCAAAAAACGCCGCGTACACCGGCGACGCACCAGTTACGGGTGCCGCGTAGAAACGTTCATTTTACCCGTACGCATTTACGGTATTTTGTTTATTAATTTATTTATTATTGAACGTCAGTCGACAATTTTATGATTACATTTAGGGTTTGGTTTACGAGTACCAGTTGTTTATAATGTAATACTAACAGCACACAGTAATAACGAAAATAACGCAGAGACAACGAAATACGATTGAGATTGGTTATATATTACCGCCCTAAAAAAAAAAAAAAAAAAAATTAAAAAAAAAAAATTAATAAATAAATAAATAAATACAAATTAAATTAAATACAAAAACATTACAACTAGTCGTACATTTAATTACTTATGGTTGAAATCAAAATTAAGGCTATTTGATTTACGAAGCATTCTATGTATTACACAGTAAAACTAGGTAAAAAAAATTAACATCCTCGGCTCAAAAATCAAAATCGAAACCACCGTTAGATACGGGTAGACTATCCAGTCGGTACGCGTTGGTATGAAACCGTTTTTTTTTTTTTTTTACACCGGGGTACCGTTTATAACCGGACAGTTTCATCGGTTCTCTCGTGTACGTGCGTTGATCACGTTCACAATACATATTTTAGAATATTATGTTACGTGCAGTGTTATTACACGAACCGTTTGATGATCGTTCGGATTCGATTACCGCCGTCGCCGTAAACGTTGCTATTTATCGCGGTACATCTGCCCACTTTTTACGTCGCGAGACTATAGGCGATTTTCTTTCGATAAACACAAGAGTAACGAAGTTTCAGCGCTGTTCGTCTGTCAGAACATTAATATTATTATAGAGAGGTACGACTTCTAGCCCTCTGGTTGCATCACCGTGCGTCACCGACTTTGCGTACTACGACGATTAAAATTAAAGCGCGGATTTCTGTGTAAAAACATGTTTCTAATTAATGTACGCACAGCCACGAGAGAAAGATACGTCAACGATTCACATTACAATGAATCTGATTACGAAATTTTATTATGCACACTAGTGCAATGATACGTATCGATATTTTATGATATTTTGATGTTAAGCAAATGCATTCGTATAAAGTAATTCGTTTGCATATTTGATTAATTAAAGATTTATGAATTGAAATTTTTCCAGGAATAAAAAAAATGATGTTAATTTAAACCGGCGCGATCAATTTTTTCTATTTTATAGAATAATAATTTATTATTAATGGGTACGCCGTACGATAGTTTTCAATGCCACTACGATTTGATAATCGGCAAATGATAATACAGTGCGGAAATTATTATTTTACTGTTTATCGTAGTACGAATACGGTAAATGACGTCGATAGATGATACACGTCCTATTGGTCGAATTTTTGATACCTATCTAGTTATCATTTTACAGACAACAGACCACCATCTATGGCCCAAATAACTAATAATAATTTTTTTTTAATATTTTCTGACCGTTATGCTTTAATTTACAAGTTTGAATTTAATGAAATGCTGAAATAACGATCTAAAAAAAATGAGTTTATTATTATTTCAATAACGTTGTTGATTTTGTCAATTATGATTTATTAAATTTGTTTTGCACATAAGTACATATCTATTTTGATGTTAAGAAAATACATTGATATAAAAACATATTTTCACTATACTATAGTAACGTAATATCGTTTTAAAAATATTATTATCGACAGAATTATTGTATTTACAAATAAAAATAAAAATATCCGTAAGCGATAATAATAAAATATTTACGTAATTCTGAAAACACGCCGGAGTGTAATAATGTGAATAAACTCTCGCGAATAAGTACCTACCTAATTGATTATTTATTTATTTATTTTAACCCGCAGCTATAAAATCGCATCACTTGTGTAAATATTTGATTTGAAAACGTAAACAAAATGAATGTTTTCGATAAGCGAACATTCTCTGTGTGAACACGTACGCTACATTCGAATGTATAAATGTATAAAAATGTATATTTACGACTATTCCGTCGAAATAAAAACGTCAAACAACGCTGATACTGTCTAATGACATAGCGTTCCCGCCTTCCGCCAACCAATACTCCGGCGAATGACGTGTACCAATAATTACTGTTGAAAGGCATAAAATAAAACGCGTCGAAAACCAAAAAAAAAAAAAAAATATTAAGATGTTATCGTTCCGAAGATTTATTACGATATTTTTAGGTGCTACGCGTTCGGTTGTTTTTTTTCGAAAACGCATAAAATTCGTCTTCGCGAGCCAGGTACTTAAACGGTTAAACCAACTATAATGTGCAGTTCCAGTGGGTACATAATAATAAAAAAAAAAAAAGTAATGTTTGTTTTTACGTACTTACCAAAAGAGATTAAAATTAATAAAACATTTAAACAACTACTTTTATCGTATTCCATACAAATAAATACATTACAGGTATATATTTAGATTCTGAGTACCAGGTGATTCATTTAAATGGGTACACTCATTATCTCGAAAAGAATTAATTTTTTTCGGAATGTGTTTTCTGGAACATTCAAGAAACAAGAAGCTCTGCAATTTTATATTTATATTTTATTTTTTCACCCTTAATACTAGGGGTAAAACCACTACCTACTTATGATTTTCCAATGGCAATCAATACGAAAAAGTCTATGAATAGATTGAGTATTAGCTAAAATAAATTTTTGTGTGGACATTTTTGATTACCGTCAATCCGTTGACGAGATTTTCCACTTTTAAATTTCGGTCGGGGGAAAGTAGTGGAGTATCATTAGTGTGTGGCGGTACTGCGCACGGCGTGTTAACAATACACCGCTGTTCTCCTCCAACCTGAAATTAAAAATGGAATACCTCGTCAATGACATGACGGAAATCAAAAATTTCAACACTAAAATTTATTTTAACTAATATTAAATCTATTTATGGACGTTTTAGTATGGGTTGCCATTTGAAAATCAAAATTAGATAATTGTTTTACTCTCTTTCCGAGTAAATGAGTGTACCCACTTAAATGAATTACCCGGTGTATAACGAAGAAGAGCTATTAGTTTTAGAAAACTAAGTAAATTTTTCTCGGAATATACTTTTATAGTCAAATATAAATATTTTTTTTTTTTTTTTTACATTACTTTTTCCAAAAATTTAGTTTTATGTTTTTTTGTTTTTTTATTTTAATTGTTAACGATTTTATTATTTTGGCAATGCTCCGATTTTATCATGCAGTATCTCAAACGATGCGGAATTTAGCGGCCCGGTGACACTTAATTAATTAATTTAAAAAAAAATTAATTCAAAACATTCGTCAATATTTTCAGCAGTTTACTCCCTTATTGGTCTTTGGTTTTTCGATGATTTTTGGCTTACTTTGGCAACAACCGAAAAAACACGACTAATATCGATCCGGTCAGAATCTCTTTTTTTCAGACTATTTCTATAATAATGCATGTAAGTGTATTTTATTTATTTGTTTTGTTACAGTTTATTTATAGTAGATTTAAATGATCTTGTGTTGCCTATCTATGAGGGGAAAAAACACAGTGATCTCCATTTAATATAATTAACATGACAATATATTTCTCTTACGACATTTATACGATGGCGACAAAACGGTTTGAGATAAAATCATTTTGAAACCAAAGCTTATTCTTGTCAGGCAATCACTTTAAAACGGTTTAAAAACATAAAACTGGTTTCAAAATTAAAACACTGGTGCTGTACAGTTTAAAATAAGTTCAAGTGTTTAAAACGGTTTATTAAATGAACATATTATAAACGTGTTTTGGAAACATTATCACTTTATCAGTTTTTATTTGTGCCTTGCATGGCCAATTATTATTATCTGCCCGCTCTCATTTTCAGTATAGTTAAGCCTAGATTTCTTTTTTGTATTCCACAAATAATCGCATTAAAGTTAAATAGTAAAGTATATTTGATACAATTTTAACAAGGTAACAAAAATATATATTAAATCGCTTTAAAAAGGTTCGCTAAACCGTTTTTATATCCTTGTACGTTGGACATATAATGCATTTTAGATTCTGAGCGGTGCAAGGAATATAATGATATTGATTTTTTTTTTTTTTTCTATAAACAATTTTCTATCAGCAATTTTAGTCCAATTTTCAACGACAGCACCTTTTCTGAAAGGAAATCGGAACGGGAAGGTACTTTAAGGAGGTTATTTTTTTTAATTTCCCCAGAATAAATAAAATATTAAATGGGAAAAATGTAGAAAAAACGGGAAAATAGGTAGAATCTTAAACAAATATTATTAAAGAAAATGTATAATGCATATGTAATTATTTACCATACTATACAGACATATATATTCTTGATAAATCCACACTATCAACCGAACTCCGCTCAGATTCGTTTTTCGTTAGCAATGGTTAATCGGTGCTTACTACAGAATATATACACTAATTACCTATAACAGTGGCTGCACCCGTTTCCGTTATCCTAGGAGAGCTTTTTTAATGTTTTATTAAACAAAATATATACAATATGTACATAACAATGCACTACAAGTTGGTACAGAAGAAAAAAAAATAGGTAAAGAGTGATTCGAATAGAAGAATTAATCAGTGATAACATCCGACACATACTGTACAAACGGGTGCAAGAGGAATTCGGTGAAACCATTTTAATAAATTTAAAAACGATTTCATTTCAAACAGATTTTCACATTTAATAAGTAAATTCCACGGAAAATCAAAACATTACCTCATTAAAATATCTCCCCAGTCAGAATTTCTTTTAAAAAAAGTACTATCATCATAAATCAGAACAAACGTGCTAGTAAGTTATTATTTAAGGAGGTCATTTTTTGATTTTTCAAGTGGTTTTTGTAGATCAGGGATGAAACGTAAGAAAAACGGAACAATTTACGAAAATATAGCTTTTTTTTTTTTTGGTTTTTATTGTAATTCCGTTCAAAATATTCTTCAAAAGACTGAACATTTATACAAACAATTTAAATTTTTCTTTTCTAAACATGGTATAGTTTTCAAAATTTTTTATCACTTTTTGAGCTATTTATAGACATTTTAATGTTTTAAGTTTTTTACGTAATTTGTATTTTTATTATTGTTAATTTTTGTTTATAGATATACATTAAATTCCCTCTTTATCCTACCTTCCCAATTTTTCGACTACAACTGTGGTCCACCCACGGTACAATATATTTTTCTACATTTTTTTTATCATTAATTATGGTTACATAATCAAAAATTCAAACACCACACAGGAAATTTTCCTATTTCAAAAGGGAGGGGGAGGGGACCTAAATCGGATCACTTAACGAGGCACGAGAGTGTTTCCGTGTAAAGCTTTTTTTGTGAAGCAAAAATGAACCCGTCTCATGCGCAGTTCACTTAAAATAAAAAAAAAAGATAAATTATTAAATGTATAAGCTATTAGTTTGTTAATTTAAATGTAACAATGTCAGCGGTTTGTAAAAAAAAAAAAAAGAAACCGCACTAACTCTTAGTACGTTTGTTTACTTGATATTATTATGCTAATAATACCTATGCGTGTCATTCAAAATCGATTAATGAACATAAATAGTCGAGTTCAGACGTGTATTATGTTATAATAAATGTATAGTTATTGATGATGATCGGCCATTTCAATTCGTTTAATAGAAATGCACCGTCGGGTATAACATGACATTGCGATGTGAATCTACTTCAAATGTGCATACACGCATGTCCGATTTTTTACAAGTATCCGCTTTTAATCGCGTGTGTATATGTACCGATCCGCATAATACACTCGTGTTTATTAATATTTATATGCAAATATGAATAATATCGTGTTTAGTAATTATTGCGTAATAACACATAAGCAGTATTATATTATATTTAACAAAAAAAAAAAAAAAAAACGTTACCCAGCGAGAAGTTGGCGGGTTCAGTGCAGTAATAAACAATATTTTCCTTTGCGTTATGGATAATAATATTACGTGCTTGCCGGAAACGGGTCGTTTATAATACGGCACAAACGATATTACGATAATGTCGGTAGGTTAGTAAGCAGGTAGGTAGGTAGGCGAGTACAGTAGGTATTTATTAAACGCTCGTGTGTGTCTCGCCGGAGGTCCTGTTTCAGTTAGTTTTTTTTTTTTTTTTTTTGTTACTTTTAATAAATTACCCCGTTCGATATTATAATATGGTCAATAAAATGAGTATCTGATTTTAACCGTTACGTGCGTGATATTATATTGTATACAATTTATACACGGGTACACATTTTGCTATTAATTATGTGTGTTTGTAACGATACAAAATACAGTATAAAGTTTATTTTCACAACACGCCGCGGTATCACAGGATTCCCATATAAACGATAATGTATCAGGTGCGACCCGTCACGCGTAACCCGACTACTCGTTCGCGCGCAGAGAAAATATTCCCGAGTTGATTCTCGACGATTCGCACTAAAATGCCACTAAACGGATACCTTACGTATACTGTAATATTGTGTGATGACGTGAGTTCACGCGGGGGATTCAATTCCCCTATCTCTGGCCGTGCTTAAAAAGAGTCGCCCTTGACAAATTCAACGAAGGTACCATTACCGTTCAAAATAATTAAGTATTTTTTGAAATATAATGATACAAATCAAATAAATTCAATAAATAACAACTAAATAAAAATTGAATAAATAACTATGACTTTTAATAAATATCAAAATATAAAACACGTGTAACCGAACTTTACTCTGCAATGTTTTTCGTTACTATTACAGATATAATATTAACTACTTTATCACTTTTCCAACTACCCATCTACAACAGTGGCCGCACCCGTCCCCAGTTTCAACTACACTATTTACTAATACGGTTGTACACAATTTAAATGAATATTTCACATATAAAAAAATGTATAATATATATCAAAAACAAAAAACAAATTTGAAGAAATATTTTAGAATTATACATATATTATGTTCTAAATAAGTGATGGATCTAGTCGTGTTTTTGTTCAAATTCTCCAGTACATCAATGATATGATTATATTTCTATTTCAAAAATTGCTTGGTAATAATTGTTTAAGAAATGTATCTAATCTGAGCAGCAGCATGGTGTGATTTTTTCTGACATCAAAAATGAATCACAAATATATTTGGAAAATGTCTGTAAAAATATCACAAAAAATTAGAATGTATTCAATTATTTTGTTTTATATTGGACCGGACTATTATAATTTGATTGACTATTAACATACCTACATGACTATAAATAAAAAAGGAACTTTTCCTCTTTATTTAAATTATTTTGTTAAAACCAGTCTGCTGTATACGTAAAGTCTTTTAAATTACTGTTGTTTTTCGTCGTTTTAAAATCTTTGATCTTTAGGTAGTGTCAACTGTGGTGTCTCAGAAGTACATTCTTCATTAAAGTTACTCACATCTTCTGGCAAATTCTAATTTTTTACTTTAATTTTTTTTATTTTTTTCATATCCGTATAATTTATTATGCAAAACTAATGTTAGGTTTCAAAACAGATATATTTAAGATGCTTACAAATAGTTGATAAAAACAGAGTTTGAACCTTTCTCTGAACAAATCATCCCAAACAACTTGTCCGAAAAATGCAAATACAATATTTTCACATATTCTGCGTCTATTTAACTCGAACCTAATTTGTGTTCTGGATTTTTGCATAAAAGCTATGTCCACAAAAATAATAAAACATTTTTTTGTAAGTATATAGTTTACTCTAATAGAAATTAAAAATAACATACTTTTCTCATGATTGCAGTCGCTTCTAACGATAAAAAACTAGGATATCGAGCTGGATCGTTCACTATGTAGTCTAACACTTTTCGGTCCTCGTCGTCTGTAAAGGGACACAATATAAGATAAACATGTATATTAGTTACGATGTAATTTTAGACATTAATATCCAAAATATATTTACCTCTTCGACAAGCATTTCAAATATCAGTACTCCTATAAGGGCCACCAATCTACACTCCGCGTATACGAAGTTTCGGTAATAACTTCAGGCGCCATAAATTCGGGAGTTTCTAGTCTGATCGCCAAATCTCACACCTTTTTAGAATCCGGCTTTTAAATTACCAATTATCATAGTCGAGTTGAGTAGATAGAAGTGGATTTTACGATTCACGGTTATTATTTGCCACATCCCCTCCCATTGGTAATTCCTGGACACGCCACTGACAACGTCATACACGAAAATAATATTTGACATTGTACGAACCTATAAATGATACTGTTTTCAAATAAATACTGTAGTCCTAAAACAACACAAACCACATAGAAATCTTGGTTCCGTAAACGTCCCGTTATTTATATGCGTATTTAAATCATCACCAACAACATATTTCATTGCACAACAAACACGAGCCTGTAAACAATAAACCAAACAATTTTAAATTACAAATAAATAACTAATTTTTAGTACACTTACGTCTGATTGAAAGCAGGCGAATAAGTTCACTAGAAATTGGTATCGGACATGACACCCATAATATGATAGTGTTTAATGACTCCATTACATTTTCAGAAATTATCTTATATTTTTTAATATTTCTATGGCAAAATACTCACTTGATATTCTATGTTGACACAATATTACCTAATATGAATGGAAAGCAAATGAAACACAAATAACTTATTTATACTCTAATTATTTCTAATAATAACTATTACCTTTCCATAACTGCCGTTACCCAATACATTCAAAAATCTAAAATCGTCCATTGACATCTGCGAAATTGTTTTACACACCTCGGAACTCTGTTAAGTTTTAATAACATTTTCGACATCTTCCACAACTGCAGCTTCAATTCGCGAACGATGTGGTAACTCTACAAAAGTTCTCCTAAAGGAGTTTCCAAACGTAATTCAGACTTTTCTAAAATAGTAATATTTATTAATTCGTTAAAGTTAAAAATTGATTGATTGATAAAAAAAAATGTATTGTTTAATTTAATTTGTAATTTTCAATACGACAATTTTAATGAAATTGAAAAAAATTCAAGGTGACTTTTTTTTATGAGAATTTAAGATTTTGATTAGGGTGAATTATTATTTTGAGATGAAGGTAATAAATATACTTATATATAAAATTCTCGTGTCACGTGTTTAGGGCCGCTCTCCTCCAAAACGGCATGGCTGATTATAATGGATTTTTTGTTGTATAATTCGTATGTATGAGAATAGGTCGTAAATTATTTTTCACCTTTGTAACCTCACCCACCATTTTTAATCGTGATTTTAGTATTTTAACTAGGTTTCTAGATATTATTAAATTATTTATTTTTATAGATTACCTTAGTTATACGGATGAAATGAAAAAAAATGTAAAAGTTTGGTTAAAACGTATCTATGGTAATTATTATAATTTATATAATAATTCTTAAAGATTTATGTACCATAGTATTTTATGCAATAAAATGTAATGTTATAAACTGTTTTCACGTAATTTCATAGTTTTTTAAAAATTCAAAAAGTTGTTATCAAATTAAAAAAATGAATTGCTATCGTTTTGTTATTTTTATAGGCCGTCATCGTTCACAGCGCTCCATTCCTCTTTCAATCATAGACACCATCCCCACATACTTACAATAAGTTAGTTATATTTTATACTACAATTCACTAGAAATATACGGCAAGAAACGCTGGGCGAGACCACTTTGCAATCATTCTAAAGTTTTTCCCGATGATATATGGACGTACAATTTTACCTATCACGAAGAAATGTTATAACAGAAAACTATTAGTTTAGTTGATAGTGTTGGTTTGTCAACAGTACATTTATATGCCATATTATGGTAAAATAATTACGTAAACATTATATATTTTCTTTAATAATATTTGTTTAATAATGTACCTATTTTCTCGATTTTCCTACGGTTTTCCCATGTTTTTCCCCATTAATTGGGTAAACTCCTAGGAAAATCAAAAAATACCTCCCGGTAAGATTTTATTTCAGAAAAAGTGCTATCATTGTAAATCGGAGCTAAATTGCCGGAAGAAAAGTTGTTCACCGGAAAAAAAAGGTCGAAATATTTTCCAACCAATACCTACATTTTGTAAATTCTTCGGTTTTTCCTCCGTTTTTTATTGGGACAATCAAAAAATGACTTCTATAGTTTTACTTATAGTATACTTCTAGTTTTTATTTAGCAAATAGTAGGTACTATGTGAATGTAATTATTTTTCCGAACAGAAATGCATACATTTTTAACAGGAGGTTCATTATAAGTTGTTTTTATAGCGCTAAAGAATAAAAAGTAAGTAGGCATTATATTCATATTTTTATTTTTATTATGGAGAGAATTATAGCGATGGACCTTCATATTTCTTCGCTATTCTGTGCCACTTATGGCCTTGTGTGATGTAAAATACGGCCTATAGATACATTATCAATGAACTAAGATTACGATAAACTCAATAGATAAATACGTAGGCAAATAGATACGCAGGCCCTTCAAGTTTGAAACGACATATTAAAAACGAGTAGACAGTTATGCATATCTAGTCGGTTTAATCGTCCCGAACGGTGAGAGCGCCAAAGAAATAAAATCCAGAACAGCACTAGCAAAAACCGTATGAATCTGGTGCTATGCTCGAAGTGCTTGCAAGTGAAATTGTTCGTGTGGAGCGTGGTTCTTTACGGTGCGGAAAATAGGAGGTGAATAGAACAGGAGAAACATAATATCTAAGATGATTTGAAATTTGATGCTGGCGGAGAATGTCGAGCGTTAACTGAACTGAATTAAGGATCGATGTCAGTTTAATGTACATTAAACAGTACTTAATGAAATTCAGGAATCCAGCGAATTTTAAACATCAATCGAAGAACGGAGATACATAATAATCGATAAGACACAACAATGAACTGCGCCACAAATTAATAAAAGAAATAATTAAAGGCAATAGAAGCAGACGACGTGCTGACGTACTAATCGAACGTATCAAAACCAACCTTAATGTTCAATACGAAAAAAGTAGATACACATTATATCAATAGATATAATGTATATATAGAAAATTAATTAATATATTGGCGATTGGATTTGTCGGATCCATGTAAATCGTCAGCGCGATAGTTGATATCGTGACAATATTATTGATAGTGGTAAATTTTGGTAGCGTAACAATTAATAGTAGAACATATCTATAACACCGGCAATAATATTGAATAAAAAATATTAGTAAAATTAGAGTTGCAGTAGGAAACTATCTACCCCGTTCTCATTGTCGTAATCTCCGTGGTATATTTGGATTAGTTTGAGGATTTTTCTTTCAACTTCAGAATTTACATGATTTCAACTGATTTCGAATTAATTTTATAATCGCATGAACAGTAATGTTTGGATATAAGTTTTTTTCTTTTGTATTACTCGATAATCTATGTGTAGTCACGAGTTTCAAGTACGTGATGTAATGAAATATTCCTAGAACATTGGTCATTCTTATTTAAAACAAAAAAAAAAAAAAAAAACACAAATACTTTAGGTTAAATCATCTTGCTGCGGCAAAGACAATTACACAAACAAATAAAATTGACTCAATAATAAAATTGTTATGTTACAAGGTATATTACGAAAAAATACGAGAAAATATTATTATGTTTTTCGATTAAAACACAATATTGTTGACAAATCAATATAATTATAATAATGTAAAAGCAACTTGATAGTTAAGAGTACTTGTAAATTACAAAAAGCAAATAAAACCAGAATAGGTAATTCGAAAATTATTCCACGTGTTAGAATAAATGCTAATTTACAATAATATTTTCATAATCTATAAATAATTTCAGGTCCCCACTATTGACTCGGATTCATATTTTTATTATAATAGCGCGTATTAATATTTTAATTTCATCATATTAAAACGCAAAATTAACACGGTATTGGTCCACGAAACCAGGGTGGTACGAAACTGGATATTTTGGAATTTCTGGTTTGTGAAATGGAACTTGTTTTTAGTTTTCTCCTCGAATCTTTTCATTTTCTTCAAATAATTACGATAATAAAATTTAAAAACCCGAAAGTAGACACTTTACAAATACCGTTGTTCAATACATTTTCCCGGTTTTCTTACGGGTTTTCAGTTCTCTTTCCTTATTAGTAATAGACCATGATAATAAAAAATAAAAATGGCCTGCACAACACACCGACAAGACGAGATTTGTTACCAGAAACCGCTCATAAAGTTGATAGATATATAGATCAAGATTTCTGGTCGAAAAGTTGTTAGTAGACCATTTTTATTTGTCCAGTCGCCTGTGATAATATTGGCTGTGAATCATTTGCACTTCAAAAGTCAGCATTTACGACATCATAATAAAAAAAAAACACATGTGAACAGCAGGGCTGTATAGTAGTACCACTAGTCGAATACTCCTTCCCCTCACCGATAGTTTTGTATTAAAAAAATAATATTTGTAAAACCAAGTAAAATAATATTATAATATAACTCGTATAATTACTACGTCCAAAAAAATTATGAATCTGAAAATTGTGTATAATTGGTGCATTCAGAAGCCAGTGTTGCGCAAAGATAACTAAAAATCAATCTAGATACATATAAAAGATAATTAGATAAATTTATCTAGATACAGATAAAAGATAAGACAATATTTATCTGGATAAATATTGGATAAATCTGGATCGTTTAGACCAACTTATACGGTCGTGGTCTGAAGATATCGCCATATCCGCCAGGATATAGAATTTAGAAATAATATAAATAAACCATCTGGATTATATGATTATCTATTACTTTATGTTTTAAATTTTGTTCTGTATTTGTACAAGGATGGTTTACTAATGAGACATGGNTATTACGGGTGCATTCAGAAGCCAGTGTTGCGCAAAGATAACTAAAAATCAATCTAGATACATATAAAAGATAATTAGATAAATTTATCTAGATACAGATAAAAGATAAGACAATATTTATCTGGATAAATATTGGATAAATCTGGATCGTTTAGACCAACTTATACGGTCGTGGTCTGAAGATATCGCCATATCCGCCAGGATATAGAATTTAGAAACAACATAAATAAGCCATCTGGATTATATGATTATCTATTACTTTATGTTTTAAATTTTGTTCTGTATTTGTACAAGGATGGTTTACTAATGAGACATGGGTTTTTAACTTTTAAGTTCAATTTTTCGAATTTTTCGAATAGTTAAATATATTGATTTATCTAGATTAATTACGTTAGATAACTCAATTATTCATCTAAGATAATTCATCAGATAACTAATTTTATTAATTAACTAGATAAGATAACGATTTTTTTTTCAACCCGTTAAATTCACGGACCTAAATATTTGTTTGCCTACGCAAGAGAAAAATCGAATTTTTTATTGGATTGACGAGAATTGCGCAACACGAAAATACGAGATTTGAATGTTGTAGGACTTGCATACGTTTTTTAAGGCGGTAATTACGAGCGGATATAAATCATGTGTATATGTGCGTTTTGTAAGATTTCTCGGCACGCGCCGTGCATACTTTGTTACTATACTCGTTTCGCTGCCACAATTATCATTATAATAAGTAATAATTGAAAGTTCGTTAAGTAAGTACACTTTTCACGCACACAGCGTATAAAATAATTATTCATCGGAACCTCGACGTATCTCTCGGTCGAATTCACATACTGTTAATATTATGCGCTAATTTTTTTTTATACAACGTTTAACACTACCGTGAACCCGGCTGAAATAATTAGATAT